GCGGAGAGTCTCTCCAAAGAAATCATATTAGATGCTAGAATATGACAACACGGAGAGGGCCAGATGAATGGATAATGATTCCAAGACAGCGCGGCTGGAGGATTTAAGGTCATGCTGAGACTGTGGTAGCTGATAACGGGAGTCTGCAAATCCCGCACCTTTAATGCAGCGCACTGACCAGTGGATCCAAGAGGAAAAGCTGTATTGGCTTTTGGCACCTGCTGGAAATTGAGACCTGGGACCCTGCGAAGCAGCCAGGGGCACCCGGCTGCACTGGAGGAGATTGTGAGAAGCTCTGGAGCTCTGAAGCCGAACACTGTGCAGTTTTCTGACCGTTCCGTGCTGTGTCGGGAACGCAGTGAAGGCAAGTGGCGCAGTGTGCAGTAGACCCACGAAAAAGACCTGCACTGAGTCCTGGTGAGTACTAGGGACTGGGTCCCACAGCTGCTATGGCTGGATGTAGGACATCTTGGAATTAGGCAGAGCCCGCCACCACGGTGACATCAGTAACACGGACAGTCTGGTGGAGAACATCTTGGAGTTGGGCAGAGCCCATGGCTCGGTGACATCAGACAGTTGCCCATGGCATAGAGAGGTCTGGTGGAGGACATCTTGAAATTGGGCAGAGCCTGGCACTGTGACAGCGTCAGCAACCTAGAGAGAACTAGTGGAGGACATCTTGGAATGGGGCAGACCCGGTGCCGCGATGACATTAGATAGTCGCTCCTGGCACAGAGAGGTCTGGTAGAGGACAGCTGGGATTTGGACAGAGCCCTGTGCCACAGTGACATTAATCAGCTGCTTCTGGCACAAAGAGAACTGGCAGGATCTGCTGGGGCTGAACCAAGCCTCTGGTTGGGACCAAATAAGCAGATACAAAATAGTTGCGACTCTGTGACATCCACAAAGTACAGCCTAACTTGTGGATTGAGTGGCACAGAGGCTGGAGGCTAGCCTGCACTGTCCCTGCATCCCTGTCTACCCCAGATAACAGCAAATTGGGGAGGACAGCAAAAACTCAAGTCAGCACGCTTCTGAAAGGCCCTAAGCAATACGGAGAGGGCCAGAGCCCCCCAAGACACTCCAGTCTGAAAGAAACCAGAAATATGACGAGATAGAAATTAAAAAAAAATCTCTAGCTGCCCAACATGAGAAAATAAGCCCAGGAGAAATAAATACAGAAGAGAACCAGCACAGTAACCATCCAATACTGGACACAGCATCAGCCGAAATAAAAAAATACCTCCATGACCTCATAGATGAATTTAAAGCTGTACTCCTGATCCAAGTGAGGCAAGATATAAAGAGATTAATTAAAGAAATAACAAGCCCCGCCCAAGAGAACACAGATGGAAGAACGGAGGAAATCAGAAAAGAAAGAGAAACTTCTGAAGAAGAATTTAAGCATAACATAGAATACATGAAACAGATCCAAAGAAAATACCAGGAAACTAAAAACTCCATTGAACACTGGCAAAATGCCTTGACAGAAACTAAAGTTAGCCTTTTGAAACTTAAAGAGTGATTTATATGATCACGAAAGAAAAGACCTCTTAAACATAACAAGGAATCAGAAAGAAACAATTCAAAGGCTAGAAGATGACAAAAGGATACATAACTTAAAAATAAAGCATGTGAGTGAGGAAGCAGGAGCAACCAAAAATGAAATACAAAGAATATTCACAGATATATTAAAGGAAAATTTCCCGTGTATAGCAAAAAGAAATGATATCCAGATAAAAGAGGCACACAGAACACCAGCTACCTACAACCAAAACAGACCTACACCCAGACATACAATAATCAAGATTCCAGAAATCCACCAAAAGAACAGAATATTAACAGGGAACAGAAGAACAGGGAAAAAAAGCAGATTACTTACAATGGGAAAATTATCAAAATAACAACAGACTGACCAACACAAACTCTTAAATCAAGAAGGGAATGAGGAGAAATATTCCAAGTCCTGAAAGAAAATAATATGCAACCAAGACTCATATACCCATCAAAACACTCTCTCAAAATTAATGGAGAAATAAGATGCTTCCAAGACCAGGAGGAACTGTGGGAGTTCGTGGCCACCAACCCAACCCTACAGAGAGTGCCGAAGGACATTCCAGAGAAAGAGAGGAAGGGATACCAGGTTTCCACCAACAGTGGCAGAGAGGCCTCAATGAACGGGGCAGACAGTGGAATGAGGGAGTAAGGTAGACAAATTATAGCAGTAAAGTGGAGTAGCAGACATGAGGCAAAGACGGTAAGCTATAGTCTTTAGTATAGATAGCTTTGATACACTATAAAAAAAGGCAGAGGTCACTGTTAATAGTGTATCAGGATTTAAAAGACACAGTAGTCTTATTGCCCTGTTTAGTTTAAATTTAATTTGTTCTGGTCTGCCCACTCATATCAGATTTGAGGGCACAGACATCTGACCCCAAAATAGCAGGTTATACTATGGCAACTATCCTTAATTTCCTATTAACTTAAACTGAAATCCTGTATTACTTACATTGTCGTACTATGACTGATCTTATCTGAATCCGATTCATAATACTGCAGTTTTGGGGCTGGGGATTTAGCTCAGCGGCATAAGCACCTGCCTTGCAAGCAGGCAGTCGTGAGTTCAATCCCCGGTACCGATGAAAAAGAAAAAGACAAAAAAAAAAAAAAACAAAAAACAAAAAACAAAAAACTGCGGTTTTGCCTTGGCTGATTTTATTTGAATTTGGTATGCTTGATAGTATCAACCCTAAAAGTAGAGGCAACTACTCTAAAGATGACAAAATGTAAAAGATATCCATACTGGTATTGATTGTTAACAGCTCTCAAGTCCTACAATGTTTTCAAAGTTGTGTTTTTATAAAAATAGCTAGGTAATACTATGTTTAACTATATTAAGTCCAATGATGTGGACAAATCTATTGAAAATAAGAGAAAGCATAGTAACTATGGTAGATCACCTAATATTGTGGTCTTATGTGTCTTTTTCATTGCATGTTTTTCTAGTAATTTGTTTTGCTGTCTTGTTATGATTTGTTTTCCCTATAATACAGAGAGGATAGATATACATGTAGAAATTCACACGTGAGAAGGTTTTTTTTAAAAACCATTTACAGGAATAGATTATATAATGCAAGATGTAATGAACAGACACTCTGAAGAAGAAGAGACACTAAGAAACCCAATGCTAATTTTGTAGCATTATGATATAAAATCTAGCAATACTATTATTCACTGATCAGAGTGATATTAGTCTAGTCTCTAAAGTTCAACTTCAGCATATGTAAAGATAAGGACAGGTACTACGAAGAGAATGAGAGATGTGATGGTAGTTATTATTGTCTTCCCCAATATCAGATTTGAAGACCTAAAAAAGCCTTCATCATCCTGTAATGATATGATTAGTTCTATAATATGCAGTATGTATTTAATGTGCATGAAATAGGGACAACTATTTGGAAGAAACTAGAGACAATTAGATAAACAGTGAAGATCTCCAGACTTGCTTTGAAATCTGTATTTCTTTAAATTGTTTTTTTCTTGAACTGTTTTGTTCTGTTGTGATGTGTTTAATCTTACCCTCTTTAAGATAAAAAGTGTGGAGGACTGATAAACCATATTACTAAGTTTTTGTTAGATCACTGAGCAGAACTGTTGGCAGTGTCACTATTTGAATGTCATTTTACATACTTTAATTTTGTAACTTGAACAGCTATTTCTAAGATGACAATATGTAACTTATCAACTGGTGATTTCTTACCAATTATTTTTCTGTATTTCTGTATTATTTCTACCCTTTTTTTATCTCCATGTATTTTTTTCGTTTCTTTCTCTTTAAATTAAAAAAAAAAAAAACACTTGGTAAACTAAGGAAGTTAGTTACACAGCTAATAGCTCTGAAAGCTAATAAAACTATTTTGACAAAGATATACTTGTTGAATAGACCTGATAACACAATTAGGCTTTTTTTTTTAAGACAGGGTCTTGTTATGCAGTTCAGGCTGGTCTTCAACTCACTATGTAGCCCAGACTGGCTTAAAACTCATAGTGATCCTCCTGAGTGCTGAGATTAGACACATCTGGCTCACTTAAATTTCTTACATCATTCATCCTGCAAGGGCTTAGCAGGACATACAATCAATCAAATCACCCTCCATTTTTCCTTCCTACCTTCCTTCCTTCTTTCTTTCCTTTTTGGCAGTGCTGGGGATTAAACCTAGGGTCTTGCATATACTAGGCAAGTAACCTGCTACTAAGCCTATCCCCAGCCCTACAGCCAATTCTTATACTAGCCTATAAACTGGTTTGTCTCTTTAATGTCATTTTTATGCAGTTTTAACTCATTTGTATTCAAATTATAACTTAACTCCCATAGGACAACTAATTTCCCCAAGGCAGGAAGATGGAGTGCCAGACATAATCTTCACCAGTGGCAACATGAACCACATAAAAACACTGGGTTTGCTGACATGCATTTGTAATTCCAGCATCCTGGGAGGGTTCTGTCTCAAGAAGAAAAGGGAGGGAGGGAATGTAGCTCAGTGTGAAGGCCCTGAGTTCAATTCCCTATTCCAGAGGTGGGTTTGGGGAGACTTTAGGATGCAGTGACAACTATTGGTCATGTAATGTATGTTTATCAATAAACTTAAAAAGCAAAATACCACTCATCCTTGTATCAGAGGATCTTGAAAAATACTTCCTTTAAATAAATACCTTTGGAATTTGAAACAAAAATCTGATGATATAACAGTGTTTTTTAATCGTTCAATTCCCAGCACCACAATAACAAAATGTTTTGTACTTAAAATAACTTAGTAGGCTCACAAAAATTTAAAAACTTACTAGATAATTTACTAGATTATCAAATTCAGAAGATAAGAAAAAGATACTTAAGATAAAGAATACTAATATGCAAAAAAATTAAATTAAACTAAGAAGAATACTAATTCCCATTTAGCACTTGAAAGACAAATGGAAATTCCCAGCAACTTCATCATTACCATTATTTCATATGTATGATCGCTTTGATGTTTCTTATATTCAAATCCTCTAGTGAAACACTGTAAAGAGAGAAAAACTAAGTTACTAAAGAGTACTTTTAAAAATGCTTTCTTAGGTACTGTAGCTTTCCTCACAATGGCCCACCCTGTGTCCTATTTTTATCTTGCTTCTTCCTTTTACTCAGCTCAAGCTCACTTTCAGAGCCAGTTTCTCACCCTTTTGCTTCTTCAAATAAACTTTGCTACTGTTAAAAAAAAAATGCTTATTTAAAGGATAGAAGATAGCTTACAGGTGTTCTATTTTTTTTTTTTTTTTATATCAGTACTGGGATAGAACTCATGACTGCAGCTTGCAAGGCAGGTGCTTTCACCACTGAGCTAAATCTTCAGCCCCACAGGTATTCTATTCTTTTGTTTTGGTTTCTGTTTTTGTTTTCTGACACAGTTTTGCTATGTAGCCCATGCTGGCCTTGAATTTACAATAATGCTCCTGCCTCAGCCTCCCAATCACTGGGATTACAAGCATGAACCACTACATTTGGCAGGTACTCTATTCTTCTATTCCTGTGGTATCTTTAAGGATTAATCTTACAACATGATGGTCTATCTGTGCTAACAGCTTATCAGAGGTTCTTCAAAGAGAAGCTCGTTGGTTGTGGGGAGCTATTTTTCCCTACGACAATTCCTTTCTCCAAAATGGCACGAGGCCTGGAGATTCAGACTGTGAATTGCAGTTGTATAGTTACCATATTTCAGCAATTTTAAGACAAACACTTTTCTACATTTCAAACTCTAAAATCAAAATTCACCTTATAATTAAAGCCAGACATGGTAGCATACACCTGTGATCCCAGCACTTGGGAGACTGAGGCAAGAGGAGCGCCACAAGTTCAAAGCCAGGCTGGGCTACATAATAAGTTCACAGCCAGCCTGAACTACATATTAAGACCCTGGCTGAATAACAAAATAAACAAACAAAAAAACTAAAAGTATATCAGGGCCTTGGATGCATGGTACATGCCTGTAATTCCAGCACTCAGCAGGCAGAGGCAGGAGGATCACTGTGAGTTCCAGGCCAGCCTAGTCTATATAGTAAGTTTAAGGCCAACCTGAACTATGTAGCAAGACATAGCTCTCAAAAAACAAAACAAAACAAAACAAAAGTGTATCAAAATTTTTACCGGCCATTTCTATACTTCAGTATTCCTGAAACTATGATCAATATTGTCTTTGGTCTGATAAAACATGGTATTTGCTGCATGATCTAACTGTTCTTTGCCTAAATTTACTCTATAAAATGAGAATATATATTTGCTTCATAGAACTATAGTGATAATTTAAGGGTTAATCCATGTAAAGTACTCAAAATTGTGCCAGGCACAAAGTACTTATAATTGTATTATTACTAACATCATAATTCACAAAATAAGTTTTCCCTTTGGTCATCTATACTGAATTCTTCATCTATTCTTCAATAAAACAATAAACAATGTCAGCAAATGCCAGTCCTCCAGTTTAGATTCCTGCAATCCCAATGGTTTAACTCTGGAAAAAAATTTAGGCGGATACACCTTGCATAACAGTCATCAGTCCCAATCATCTGCAGTTCCTCAACTTTTCGCTGGTAAAATGCATAAAACAAGACTGACTGGAAGGAACAAATTTAATAAGGTATATTCCTCCTAAGCCATCTGTGATAATCTCTGAATTACTATACTCATAAAAGGTTGAGAAGCAAGCCTCTCCTTGGTTACCTGCAAGCAGAGAAAAAAAGGAGGTGGCCCACATTCAGCACACTTAATGTAAGGTTCCATGAGGTAGGAGGAGCAGCCTCTACAAGGTGGCTTATCAGAGGGATCATCTAAAATAAGGAGAAAACAAATACACAGCTTCAAAACACCTTATAATTAGCAGAAGTGCAAAAATGGGAGAATATGCAAAGTATATTGACAAATGCATGGAAACAACATGAACTCATTCCAAATAAACACAAAAATGTTACTTCAGGGCAGCTTTGTTCCTTCTTACAGGATACTGATTACTTCAAATTGTAGTTAGGCAAAAAAGCACCCTGCAGAAAACTTATACTTTTTAAGCTAAGTTTCATTAATGTACACCTTATTTTTCAGGACAGTGGGGCATGGACTCACAGATACCTAAAACATGTACCTATAAAGCAAATCTGACAAAAAGTTAATCGCTACTGACTTTAGGCAACAAGCAACACCACAAATAATCACTGTACTGTTTGTTAAACTTTTTCATATGCTTGAAAATTTTTATAATAAAAAGCTGGGGTGGGGAACTCCCTTAAACAGTCATGACTTAAACTTGAGATTAGAGTTGGGATTTAAATCCAGAAAAGCTCCCTATCTCCTTCAATAGCAACAGAACACTGCTGATCTCCCTCCAATTCTAATGGCAGTAGTACATCTCCAAGAACTTAAAGTAAGGAGAATAAACTTTTTTTTCTAGTACAGTAGAGTGAACCCAAGAACACTCTGCTAGTAAGCTATAGCCTTAGCCTTTTTTATTCTTTCAGACAGCATCTGGCTAAGCTGCCTGGGATGGTCTCAAACTTGTGACCCTTCTGCCTCCCAAATGGCTGTAACTATAGGAAAGAGCCACACCACATACAGCCGAAGTCTTGAAAATCATTTTTAGAAAAAACTAGGGCTGGTGGCACACATCTATAATCCTAGCACTCAGGAGGTCAGTTCAGGGTCAGCCTGGTTTACACAGGGAGTTCAAGGGCAGCCTGAACTACACAGTGCAACTCTGTCTTAAAAAATCAAAACCAGCAAAAAGATGACAGATAGATCCATAGATAGATAGACAGACAGACAAACAGATAAAAGGCAGGTATAGTGGCACACTTCTACAACCCCAGCACTCAGGAGGCTACAGCAGGAGAATGGCCACAGAGGCCAGCCTGAGCTATGTACTGAATTCAAGACCACATTAGATTACATAGAGAAACTGTCTCAAAAACCAAAACAAATCAAATAAAGACGTAAAATAAAGATATGTCCCTGGTTATCCCAAACTCAGTTCTCTGTTTCTTCTTGTTGTTGTTTTGTTTTTTGTGGTACTGGAACTTGAACCCAGGGTTTCAGGGTTTTTACACCAAGCTACATCGCCAGCCTGTCCTTCCTTTTTTTTTTTTTTTTGTCTTTTTGAGACACGGTTTTGCTATGCGATTCAGGTTGGCCTTGAGGTCACTTTGTAGTCCAGGATGGTCTCGAACTTGTAACAATTCTCCTGTCTCAGCTTCCCATGCCTGGGAATTACAGACATGCAACACCATGTTTGGTCTTTATTTATATTTTGGGACAAGATCTCATTAAGTCACTAAATTATCCAGGCTGGGCTCAAATTTCTGATTTTCCTGCATCAGCCTCCCAGAGAACTGAGATTATAGGTGTCAAGACACCACATTAACTCCAAAATAATTCTCTGTGATCAACCACAGCATTTTGGGAAAAGAAAGTCCTTGAAGGTAGATGAAGGAATTTGTTTAATAGGAGGCAGAATTTCTCATACTCTATATGGTACCATAGCAGCATTTTTCCCCACTGAACTGCAAACATTTTTGAAGTCACTTTTGTCTCCTAAGTGGTTATAATCATTCTCTCCATTTGTTTTCAAATGAAGACATGCGGGGCATAGTGATATATGCCTATAATCCCAGCATTTGGCAAGCCGAGGCAGGAGGATGGCCTCAAGTTGGCCAGCCTGGATTACATGAGTTCAAGGTCAGCCTGAACTACATAGCAACACCTTTTCAAAAAAAAAAAAGACATGGAAAAAATAACAGAATAAAGAAAGGTACTGCTAGTGGTAGTTTCAAATTAATTAATGGAACAGTAACTGTTCCACTTCTCCAATTTTAAATTTTAGCACACAAAAAAACCCAAATACTATATGAAGTACTAGATGACAACCTTTATCAAATTATCCTTTCACTTTTTGTTTTGAATTTTTAAGAGACAAGAGTCTCATTATGTTGCTCAGGCTGGTTCTCAGCTCCTGGGTTCAACTGATGTCATGCCTCAGCCTCCTGAGTAGTGGGACCACCAATATGCAGCACTGCACCCAGCTCTGTTTTTTTCGTATTTTAAACTTGCTTCTGCTTCTCTATCCTTGAACTTACCTCAAAAAATGCACCAGCCACTGACCAAAGTAGTTTTTTTAAACCTTCTATGTCAAAAGAAGCAATTACTGCCAGGCATAGTGATATACACCTGTAATCCTAGCACTCAGGAGGCTTAAAAGAATTGCCTTAAAGGCTGGGGATTTAGCTCAGTGCCATAAGCACCTGCCTTGCAAGTACACAGTCATGAGTTCGATCCTCTGTTCAAAAAAGAACTGCCTGAGTTCAAAGCCAGTCTGAACTACAGTGAGACCCTGATTCAAAAATAAAACAAAACAGAAAATAAAGGGTTACCCATTCAGAACCCCTCCTGTCTCTAAGGAACTATTCCTATTCCCCATTCCTTTTCTCCAATAAATTTTCCTACTCTTAACCTTAAAAGAAAAAAGATGGGCCAAGGATGTAGCTTAGTGGCATAAGCGCCTACCTGGCAAGCACAAGGTCCTGAGTTCAATTCCTGGTACCAAAAAAATAAAGCAACACAAAAACAAAAAATTTAAATTAAAAAAAAGAAGCAATTATTTTGTAAAAGTAATCCAATGTATAGTTCTCAAACTCTAGACTCTAAAAGTACGGAATGTCCTCAATTAACATTTTAAAAAATAGTCAACCATTTGTTCTGCCTATATACTTAACAAAAGTAGGTTACTATACATGTTTTGCAGCCTGTTTTTCCACTTGCCAAAATACTGTAGACTTTTTTTTCAGTACCAGGGATCAAACTTATTACCTTGCACTTGCCAGGCAGGCACTTATGCTGCTGAGCTAATCCCTGACTGTGGACATTCTTTCAGTACTGGAAACTAACTCAGGGTTTTGTGCACTGAGCTCTGACCCCACCTACTTCCTTATCCTTTTCAATGTAATATTTCATTGTATCAACTGTCTATAATGGCTCTCAACTACTCCGTAGATTTTTTTGCACTGAGAATTGAACTCAGAACCTTGCACTTGCCACCAGACACCTGTGCGGTGCTGTGTTATATCCTTAGCCCTCAACTACTCCCTAGGAAGACAGATACTTTGGAAATCTAAGGAAGTGCTTTTTTGTTGTCACAGTGACTAGGGAACACTCTGAGGTTTTTGTTGTTGACACAAGATCTTTCTGTGTAGTTCACTACCTGAGTTTACTATTTAGCCCAGGCTGGCCTCGAACTTGCATTGCTCCTCCTGCCTTAGCTTCCTGAGTGCTAGGATTACAGATGTGCACCACAGCTACCTTTTTAAAAAAAATTTACTACTTGGATTTTGTAGGCAGAGAATAGGGATTCTAGCTCTCCTATTATATTCAAAATAGTCCTAAACAACTTGTATCCTATGCAACTTGTAAATGTGCCATCCGACTTTTGAATAGATGAAAAACTTCATGACTCAGAATCCAGTTCTATAGAAAATATTATATAGATATATTCATCTTTATTGCTGGAGATAAACCTAGTGTATCCAAGGCAAACACTCTGCCAATGAGCTATATTTCTACTCCCAAAATACAGTATTTTTGATGGTTTTCGTATACATTTCTAGTAAAGCATTGCACATAATCCTAGAAGTGACTGTGTCTAGCTTGCTTGCTTGTCTTTCCTTCCTTCCTCCTTTCTTTAGTACTGAGGATGGAACCCAGAGCTTTCACTTTCTCAATCCTTCTTTTTGGTACCAGGGATCAAACTCACAACCTCGTGCTTTCCAGGCAGGAGGTTATGCCACTGAGCTAAATCCCCAGCCATTTCTAAATCCCTTTCTAATCTTTTTTTTTAGATAGATGCTCCCAAAATTGCCCATGTTGAGCTCAAACTTGTGATCCTCTGCCTCAGCCTCCTGAAGTGCTGAGATTACAGCCCCATGTCACCACACCTAGCAGGAGATTTTGTTTTGTTCAGAACTTCCCCAGGAATTACTCAAGGTTGAGATATTTCTTAGTCACTAATACAATATACCTGAATCATTTTACATTTGTAGTTGTAAGATGTTTTGTGATTCAGTGATTCAATACATAGATTTAAGTACCTGACTACTTGAGTCATACGTCTTGTTGTAATCCTGTCTATACATATGAAGATAGTTGTTATTTCATTATAAATTATTTATCCCTTTTATTATTGTTAGGCATTATTTTTGAAAACGTGTATATATTATCTACATCTCATTTCCAGTTAGTAAAGAGACTTAAAATATTACAGAAATTACAAAAGTAAGGGCTGGGGAATACAGCTCAGTGGTAAAAGTGCCTGCCTTGAAAGCACGAGGTCATGAGTTTAATTCCTGCTACCAAAAAAAAAAAAAAAAAAAAAAAAATTGCATTATAGAAATCATTAGCTCTCATAAAATTAAAACTAACCAGTTATCATCTGGTAGGCATTTATATATTTATGTCATTTCAGTTTTCACTATTATAAAGAATGCTGAAGTGATGCATGGTATTGCATGTCTGTAATGCTAGCAAATCTGAAGGCTGAGGCACAAACATCTGAAGTTCAAACCTACCTTGGACCACTTAGCAAGAACTTGTCTCAAAACAGGGAAGGATATAATTCAGTATAAAAGCTCTGGGTTCAATCCCCAGTAGCACAAAAACAAAACACAATAGAAAGCTAAGACTATTATCTTTGTATGTATAACATTTCACATTTGTTTTCAGGGTATATATTTTCCTATAATTAGAACTGTGGAGTGCACAAAGACTTGTAGAGGCAAAGACACTTGTCTCTAGTTTGGTATCATTCCTGTAAATTATGGGAAAAAATACATTCTCTGTTCTTTGCAAAAATAAATAAAGGATAAATCAGAACAATGAAGTTGTATATAAAAAGAATAAAAACATCACTGCAGTATCCCATAGAGAAAAAAAAAAGAATAAAAACATTTTGTTCAAGAATAAGACTTGGAAAAAAAAAAAAAAGAATAAGACTTGGGCAAACTGAAGCACTCAGAGGATTGTCTCAAAAAACCAAAACCAGGGGCTGGGGGTTTAGCTCAGCGGCATAAGTACCTGCCTTGCAAGTATGCGGTCGTGAGTTCGATCACCGATAAAAAAGAAAAAGACCAAAAAAAAAAAAAAAAACCAAAACCAAACTAATTATCAGGCGACTTATGCTGGGCATACACATCCCTGTTATCTCAGCACTGAGGTGGTTGGGGCATGAGGATCAAGTGAATTCCAGACCAGCTAGGCTGTATGAGTGAATTCAAAACCAGCCTAGAATGTATAGTGAGACCCTGTCTCAAAAAAAAGAGAAAACAGGCTCTAAATCAAGGTAGAAATTTTGATGAAACACAGTATTTTTTTAACTTGAAATTTTCTCTCTATGACTTATTACATGCAGGGGAAAACTGGAAGTCATACAAAAGACATATTCTTATTCTTGCAACTCGCTGTACATTTAAAAATATTTTAACAATTCTTAACATGTATTTTTGTGTGTGTGGTGCTGGAGATCAAACCCAGGACCTTTAAGACAAGTGCTATATCACTGAGCTACAAATCCAGTCCTAAGAAGAGGAAGGGTTTCAATTTATTCTCCTAACATTGAAACAATTTATTCAGATTCTCTACATGTAAAACGAAAGAGCTGAACTAGGTGTGTTCAAAGGCTCCATTCTGTTCTAAATTTATATGAGAAGTATAGTGGAAGAATAAATTAAAGCTCCTTTATGGAACTACTGAAGAGCTGGGTGCGTTGATAAACACTTATAATCTCAGCATTCTGGGAGGCTGAAGCAGGAGGATGACAAGTTTGAGCCCAGCTGTAACAATTTAGTAAGATCATCTTGAAATATAAAAAGGGTTGCTATTCAAAACTGTTACAAATATAATGCAAAACTGTTACAAATATAAATACAAAACTATACAAATATAATGCAATCCCAATCAAAACATCATTAGCATACCTCAAAGATCTAGAGAAAACATTCCTAAAATTCATTTAGAAACAGAAGAGACCTAGAATAGCAAATGCAATCCTAGGCAACAAAGGCAAGACAGAAGGCATCACAATCCCTGACTTAAAATTATACTACAAAGCTACTGTGATAAAATCAGCATGGTACTGGCATAAAAACAGACCTGAGGATCAGCAGAATAAGATTAGAAGATGCAGACACAACTACACTCAGTCACCTTATCTTTGTCAAAGGGGCCAAACATGTTCACTGGAAGAAACATAGTCTGTTTAATAAATGGTGCTGAAAAAATTGGCTTTCCCCATGCCAAAGACTCAAACTAGTATCACTGTTCTCTAAAGTCAAAATGAATCAAAGATCTAAATATTAAAACAGAAACACTAAATCTACAGAAAAAAAGGAAAGCAGAAATCTCAAAGACAAAAGGATAGACAGCGATTTCATAAACAAAACCTCAACTGCATGGGAAGTACTTCAAACAATCAACAACTGGGATCTCATTTACTAAAAAGTTCTTGCACATCAAAGGACTTCTATCAAGAAACATACACAGAGTTGAAAAAAATCAGGCTCCTCCAATTCAAAGACCCAATCCAAAAATGGGCATTCGAGATGAACGCACACTTTTCAGATAAAGAAATACAAATAGCAAATAAACTTCTGGAAAAATGTTCAGCATCACTGGTCATTTGAAAAACGCAAATTAAAACAACACTGAGATTCCATCTCATTCCAAAAAGAATGACTATCATCAAGAAATCAATCAATAGCTGGGCATGGTGGCATGTTCCTATAATTCCAGCACTTGGGAGGCTGAAACAGGGGGATTACTGTGAGTTTGAGGCCAGCCTGGGCTACAAAGTGAGCCTGAACTACATGGGAAGACCCTGTTTCAAAAAGACAAAAAAAAGGGGGCTTGGGATTTAGCTTAGCGGCATAAGTGCCTGCTTTGCAAGCAGGCAGTCGTGAGTTCGATCCCTGGTACCGAATTAAAAACAAAAAAAAAAAAAAAAAAAAAGGACAAAAAAATTACAAAAAAAAAAAAATCAACTAGTAACAAATATTGGAGGGGTTGTGGAGAAAAATGAACCCTTCTCCACTGTTGGTAGGAGTGATTAGTACAACTACTGTGGAAATTAGTGTGAAGATTCCTCAAAAAACTAGAAGGTCCCATTTGATTCAGCTATTCTTCTTCTGGGTATTTTCTAAGAACTGAAAACATCGTATCACAGTGATATATGTGCAACCATGTTTATAGCAGCACAATTTGTAATAGCTAAATCTTGGGAACAATCGGAATGCCCACCAACCACAGAATGTATAAAAAAGATGTGATATTTTTATACAATGGAGTGCTACTCAACTAGAAAGAGTTGGATAAACTCAAGACTCTTATAGGTAAATGGATGCAACTCATAAGTGAAATAAATCAGACTCGCACGTGTAAATATTGTATTGTCTTCCTAGTGTAAAAAATTGAAAGAGTAAATAGGATCCAAAATGTTCAATAGACATTGTGAAAATGAAAGAGGAAATAAAAATTGCTTAACAGGAAAGAACTGGGATGAGGGAAAGATTATATATATACATGCAATACTTCTGTTAGTTCATCAAAAAGGTTTGTACTCCCGTTGTTTGATCATTTTTTCACGCCTACATCTTATAACCTGAGCACCTGCTTTGAAGATAACTAAACAATATATTAACCACTGTTGATCCCCTATTATATTGTTTTGAAATTCTGCATCGTGGTTTTTTTGTTAAAAAGGGGGGGGGGCTGCTGGATGTGACATTGCAGGCATGTAATCTCAACACTAGGGAAGCTGAGGCAGGAAGATCCTGAAAAGTTCAAGGCCACCCTGGGCTACATAGTGAATTCAAGGTTAGCCTAAACTACATAGTGAGACCCTGTCTTTAAAAAACTAAAAAACAAATTGGCGGGGGGGGGGGGGACGGGACACGGGACGCTAGCTCATTGTAATTATCCCAAGTTCAATCCCTAGTACAGACGTGGATGGAAAAAAACTGCTGAAGCGGCCACATATGGTTGCAGAGGCCTGAAATTCCAGAAGTTGGCTGGCTGATGCAGGAGAATGAAGTATTAAAGGCCAGCTTGAGCTACACAGTTAAGTTCAAAACGTCTAAGACTCAGGGCTACATAGCGAAACACATCTCAAAAAACTGAAGAAAAAGAAGCTACTGAAAAACAAAACCCCAAAAGTACTCCATAGTTGTGACTACTTAAATTTATTTCACACATATACTATGCTGTAATTCTATGCATTATTATTTTTACTGTAGAATAACTCTTAGAATAGTTGTGCCAATTAAAGGGGGGAAGCATATTATTGGTTGTAAAGAGAAATCGTTTTTAATTAAACAAAAATAGTTTATTTTTAAAATATATTTTTATTTTTAATTGACACAGTCATACATATTTATGAGGTACAGTATAACATTTCAATACATGTACACAATGTGTTACAATTAAATCAGAACAAGTGGTATATCCATTATCTCAGAAATTTATCATTTGTGTCCCTTCCTATTTTGAAATATACAATTAATTACTGTCAACTAACTATAGGTACCCTAATATGCTATAAAACATTAGAAGTTATTTCTCTTATCTAACCGCACTGCTTTAAGTTTAATTATAGGTAATTCCTACCATGCCTGATCCATTCAGCTGAGTGTTCTTGTAGGCAAATGCTCCTGCACTGAGGTACACCTGTAGCCCTTAGCTTTGTTTTCTTCTAAGACCCAGGGTATATTTGTGTTATATGTGCATATGTCATGCAGTCAATTTGATTTTATTTTGATTTGTAACTCCTTATTCCTTTAGACTCCAACTCATAGGCTATTATTGCTTAACTTAAAAGAGCTTCTTTTTCTTCCTTGACCAGTTTTTATTTCAGTTTGCTATTAATATTCACCTGAGACTTGTTCCCATTGTACTTACTGCTAAAGGAACCCAAACGGTCCATTCCCTAACTGGCAAAGGTTGCTGCTTTGACCTTCCGCAGTGCACAACTTCTCCAAGATCCAGAACTGTCGACACATACGCCAGTGCTTGGTAACTCCCTGTGAACAAACAAAAGTGGCACATGGATCAGACAAACACCCAAAGGGACAAGATAAGCAACGTATTAAGTTCTATCACCTTCTCACTTGGTAATGCTGAGAAAAATTATTCTACCTCTATAAAACTATCTCTCCTTTGTAAAATGAGTATAATGGTATCTACCTCTTAAGAGTTGTGAGAATTAAATGTCAATAATCAAATATCAAAACCCATAGAATCCAGCATGGTTCCTGGCCCACAGCCAGTCCTTTATAAATGCTACATATTTCTAACGAACAACTACTAGCTTTCTCTGCTTACCATCACTTTTCTTTTCAGCTCTCTTTTCCTTAAGGAACTGATTATCCCATATTTCTTATAGTATTGATAGTGCTACCAATCACATATCAAACCTCCACCCTCAGCAAATAGATTTTTTTCTTACAGAAACCTAGACTTTTTTTTGAGACAGAGCCTTGCTGTGTAATTCAAACTGGCCTCAAATTCACTATGTAGTCCAGGCTGGACTCGCATCAATTCTCCTGCCTCCTCCTGAGTGCTAGAATTACAGGTATGCACTACCATGCCTGGCCCAGAAAGCAGTTACAGTTCAGTCACTTATTAGTCCAAGAATTTGGTCCATGAGTTCTGGTTATTTAGATCTCATTTATCTTTTTTTTTTTGGAACTGGCAATCAAGCTCATGACCTCACCTTGCCAGGCAAGTGTTGTGCTGCTGAGCTATAACCCTGGCCCCTCATTTACTATTTCAATAAAACTTCAACCTGATTGAGTTCCAGAAAACCAAGACATTCTACCCATTACAACATATATTTGCTTACTAACTTACTTTCAACAAATGTGTGGAACATCTTTTTTTTTTTTTTGATACCAGCAATCGAACTAATGACCTCACGCTTGCCACGCTGATGAGCTATATCCTCGGCCCCTGAATATCTTTTTGAAGGAAATATGAAAATTTATTTCACACTAAGCCTTTCTTCTATAGGCTCTAACTTCTTTCTTCCACTGTATAGCCCCATAACTTTTTATCTCTTTTCTGAAATGTTTCCCAATATAGTTCGTGAAGTTTACCTCTGAATGTGTATTTCTTCTACTTTAAAGTATCAAGCAACTAGAAGGAACTCATTGAACACATAAAAAGAACTGGGTAAATGTCAGTACTAACTTCATCATTAGTTCTCCTGGAATGACTTCTTTCACATTGGTATTTTTAGCTTGGAAAACAATCCATCAAATGTACACAACACTCAAGATAATAAAATGTTGTCAATGAATTTTTCTTTTTGGGGATGGGATGAGCCTCCCTCTATAGAGACCTAGGAAAAGTTAGTTAAAAAAAAAAAAGAGTTTAGCACAGGTGTATCATGCACTGAGTGATAAAATAATGACCAACATTTATTCATCTTGGATTATCTCTTTAAATCCTCCCAACCTTCTCAGGTAGGTGTCATTTTCAAAAAAAAGAAGGCTCTGAAAGAAAAATGCATTTAGGTCAGTAGGATGGCCTATACCTATAATCCCAGCACCCATGCTGAGACAGAAAGATTCCAAATTAAAAACCCAGTCTCAGAAATTTAATAAGACCCTGTCTCAAAAAACAGAAAGGTTGGCCAGGGATTTAGCTCAGTGGCATAAGTGCCTGCTTTGTAAGCATGCAGCTGAGTTCAATCCTTGGTACAAAAAAAAAACCAGAAAGCTTAGTGCAAAGGCCCTAGATTCAACCCCCAGTATTCCTCCACCGAAAAAAAAAAGAGAGAAGCATATTTGCACAATATGTTATAGGGAGTGAACATTAAGCCATTTCAACAGAGATTGAAGGATGCATCAAAAACAGTCTGACAGGGGCTAGGGATTTAGCTCAGCGGCACAAGCACCTGCCTTGGAAGCAGGCAGTCGTGAGTTCAATCCCTGGTACCAATAAAAAGACAAAAAAAAAAACAAAAAAAAACAGTCTGATAAACACTCCATTTCTTTTTTTTTAAATTAATTTTACTGGTATATTTTAGATGTAACATTCCTTATGGAAAATTTGTCTACCTGTACATGATATATTTTCTTTTTTCCCCCATTCCTCTCCCCTCCCAGCAGCCTCCCTTCCTTTCCTTATTTACAAAAGCTGTTTTCTTTTTTCTTATTTCGCTATATCCTTTTTTCTTCTCAATTCCTTCCTTTCTCCCTCTTCCCTTAGTTACCCTTTCCATTTGAACATTTCCTTCCTATTTCACAATATCTATTATACATTTTGGTCCTTATTTATACTTGTAGCTCCTCACACCAGAGAAAATGATATTTAAACATGTATGTCAGATTTTAAAGTGTATGGTGTTAAGGTTTATACATTTACCTACAAGTGTCTCATTTTATCGTTTATGGAAAAACAATACTCCACTCACTGCATTAAAAAAAAAATCTCCTTTATCCATTCACCGGTTGATGGGCATTTGTACTGTTTCCAAGATTTAGATATTATAGGGCTGGGGTTACAGCTCAGCGGCACGGCGCCTGCCTGGCAAACACGAGGTCGTGAGTTTGATTCCAAGTACCAAAAGAAAAAAATAAATTTAGCTATTACAAACTGCTGCTATAAACATGGGTGTGCAAACATCGCTGTGGTAACACTCCAATATTGCGTCTTTAGGCACAATATTGCAGTAAGTACACTTTTTTCCCTCTCCTTTCTTCTCACAAACACCATACTGTAACATCATCATCCATAAGAGGATGAATGCCAGATCCAAATAACAGGGCAAATTCCAAATTACTGGAAGGGACAAGGTTGCGCGTGGTGCAGAGAAGTGCAGGCTTTACAGTTTTGCAGCCAACGTCCCAAGGCTTTTTCCCCAGCTCTAAAGTGGAGCGAAAACACCTCCCTGGGAACTCAGTGTCGGTGAAGGGCTCATCACACAGTGGCTGTCACCAGGGTTCGCGGGTGCTGCTCCGCAGAGCTGCGCACCCAGGCAGGGATTGAGCTGGGCCGCCAGGCTGAAGGCGGGGCCGACGGGGTCAGGCGCACCGCCCACCCTCTCTCCCTCCCCCACTGCGCGGCGTGGCCCAGCGCCGCCTGCCTGCCGCGCTTTTCCCTCCGTCGCCGCACCCAACACCTCAAGACTCTATTTTCCCTCAGTATTGCCAGAGGAGCTCTCGCTGGCTCCCCACCCTTCGCGCTTCATCTCGCAGCTACTCCTACCTCAACACTTGTAGTCGCCTCCTGAGCGCCGTCCCTGCTAGCGTGCGCTGTCTCAGAGTCTGCGTGCTCACTCCCGCGTACGTGCGCACTCCCGTCACGCACAGTCCCCGCCCCTTCCTTTTTCCTTCCTTGTCACCACTTTGGACCTCCAGCCCGCTGCTTCTCCGCGCCCCCTCCCCTCCCTTGGTCCCCGCCAGCCAACGGGAGAGATCTCGACGCCTGAGGTCTGGGAGGTTGGAGTCGAGCAGCTTGCCTGACTGTTGAATCTGACCTGTCATCACTTGGCCCATGTGGCGTGTGGCCCGCGGCCGGAGGCTTCCTGTTGGTGGCGCTGTTTGGTCCCCTCTGGAGTGCAGCGAGGCAGACCAGGCTGCAACAGTCTGGGTTTTTTGATAACATTCCCACTCCCGCCCCGTTGTCTCCAAAGGAGCAGAAGCTGAGGCTCTGGGCCCAAGGACAGCGAACCGTGGCCGCCTCTCCAGTCCGAGCCACGCAGTGCCGCTCCTGGATTAACCAGATTTCAGGAGTGAGGAGAGTACGTTTCATTCAGAGGCTCCTGGAACGTCGACGGTGTCTCCTTTGGAAAGAACCATCCCCTTCTTGGGCTTCAGATGCCCAAATGGAGGTGCAATGATGAGAGGATGTGGTGGTCCACACTGATATCAATCTTGAGGGCTAGGTATGTCCCAACGTCTCTTCTTACTACTAGTAGTGATTACTATCCTAACTACCATTTATTGAGTGTTTACTGCATGTCTGGCATTGTACAAAGCAGGTTACACCTATGGTCTCATAAAGCAACCTTATGAGATTGGCAGTATTATCCCTATTTCCCAGGGGTGGATTTATATACATGTATGTATGAATTTGGGATTACACAGGTAGGAAGTGTTGAGGAAAGAGATTCAAAACCATGACCTTTCTACCTTAAACTATGATGCTGTTATGTGTATTCAGAAGTCTGTCTCTGATAAATTTCGCCGAAACGCTTTTAGAATTCATTTACACTTCTTGTCTGTGTGGACCCTCTATTCGTTTTTTGGTATGTGTAATACAAGTTCATTGTTTAAAAGAGGAAGAGGAAATTTTGCGTGAGCAAAAATTAAAGTGAAAATCATCTCCCAATATGTTAAATAAACAGTTAAGAAGTTGATATATACCTTTTCAGGCATTTTCCTATACATCATTTCAATAAACATAGGATGTCTTACATTTGATGTATGCTAAAATCTGTTCATTCATTCAACAAATATTTAATGGGCACTGTTCTAGATACTGAGAGTTCAGTAGTGAACAAAGCAAAGTCTGCCTCATAGAGTTGATATAGTAGTGGAGGAGACTGACAACAAGCAACACACACGTATTACTAATAGATAATGCCCAGTAATGTGGTTATATGGAAAAACAAATCAAGATAAATAGATAAAAGTGATGTGAAGATTCTCTTTTAGTTAGGATAAACAAGAAAGGCTTCTTAGCACAGGAGTCGCATAAACAGGAATCTAATCATTTAATGAAAAAGGAAGCTAAGAGGATTTCTAAAGGGAAGCTAGAAAAGATGCAGCAAGTGCAGTGACCTAGACATAGGGACTTGTTTGGCATAGCGAAGAAGAAAAGAGACCAACAGGATACAACCGTAAATTGGAGAAATAAGATAAAAAATAGTAAGAAGCCAGATTTTGTAACATGTCACAACTGTGAAACAAAAAATCCCATTCAGTGCTGGGATCTGTTAATTTAAAACAGCATTTGCAAGGTGTATCCTAGGATGTCAAGTTTTAAGTGAGCCTGGAAACTTGGTGAGCCCCAACTCAAAATAAGATATAAAGGCGTGGGGATGCAGCTCAGTATTAGAGGGCCTCTTGGTTTGATCCCCCAGTACTGCAAAATAACTAATACACAATTTAAAATAAGCAGAACAGCATACCATGGTACAAGCCAGTAATCCTAATTACTCAAGAAAGCCAAAGCAGAAGGATTGCAAGTTCAAGGCCAATCTGGGCAAATTAACGAGACCTTGTCTCAAAATAGAATAAAAGTGCTGGCTGGGAATGTATCTCAGTGGTAGAATACCTATGGGTTCAAAACCTAGTATGGGAGAGGGGGCCCTCTAAAACATAGTATTCATTCACCTGGAAATTAACTTTCCTCTTCAGCTGATGTTAGGCTCTGTTTAGAATTAATGCTAAGCCCCCATTTAGTTTACTTAGTGAAGACCCAGACAAATTTAAATGCACAGTGTGAAGAAGGCTGGTGAAGGCTTTTCAGAATTTTTGCCTCAAGCAGTGTTGTGATGGTATCACTTACAAAGCTAGCCAAAGGGAATGGGAAAGTCCAGATTTGGAGAAAAAAATTGTTTAAGATCTGTGCTTTGCATTCTAACTAGAAATGACAAATAGGAATGTAGAGCTCAGTGGAGAGGTCAGGATTAAAACTGTAACTGCAGTAGAATTGGTTCTTTGTGTCTTCCAGACAGAGCTTAAGAATAGACTGTCTTTTCTTTGTAACCCCATCACCCAGAAACAATCCTCAACAAATATTTGTGAAATGAGCAAATAAAAGCAAAGGTATTAATGAAACTACTTAGGCAAAATGTGTAAGATAAAAAGAGAAAATATGTATTCTATGTTTTCACAGACAATCCAAGCACCTGGATGTGGTATACAAGTAGACAGAGCTGATTTGCTCTATCAGTTCCTGGTCTGTACATGTTGTTCCTAAATAGTTATTGCCTTGGTTCACCCTCAGAAGTGTCTGAACAATAAATTTCTAAGTCACTGTTTATAGAAGACCTTTTAGAGTCTAGCTTCTTCTGTACAGTATCTTTAGCATCAAAGTCCCATCTGACAATTCATTTCTTCAGTCAGATGGAAATACCTCCATTTCTCCAATCAATGACTTCCTAGTTGCTTTTGCCACAGTACTGCCTACCTCATGGTGGTCACTTTCTCAGGAACTTTTTGCTGACTCCCCAAAGGCTGAGTTAGGTAACCCACTTACATACTACCATTCCACTCTGTATTTAACCTGTCTTAGCAAAGGTTACTGAGTGCCTTGTTTGCTCACTAAACAGCCGTAGGGGGAACCTATGAAAATACCTCTTGTCCTTTTTTTTTTTTTTTGAGACAGTGTACTCTATAGTTCAGGCTGGCCTTAAACTCACTTTGTAGCCTAGGCTGGCACCAAACTCTGAGCAATCCTACTGCCCCGGATCCTTTCATTTTTAACTAAAGAAGTTAACGTTTGACCATGAAACCCAACAAGGAAAATTATACCTTAAATGTATCCCAAATATTGGGATCAAAGTATCCCAAAAGTTTCTTCCCAGCTATTTTGCTGCTGTGGTTAAAAACAAAAATGAAGCTTACAAGCCTCCCTTATGAAAATAATGTTCTGTCCTGTCTAGTTACTTCCTATATCCTGAATGTTGAGAGACTATAAACTTTATCTCATCTTCCATATTTTTCATGTAACTGAGATGGGTTCTTATAGTTTGGTATTCAAATAGGTAAAGAGAAAACATTAAAAAATCTGGCTATGCGCCTTAGGCCTTGACTTCCTCCCCTTTCTGCTGAGATTTGCCACATTTGTGTAATTCAGCTGGCAATTGAGGACCTGGAATAGAACACTTGTCCAACCTCCTGGATCTTCAAAGCAAGGAGACTGCCTGTGATGTGATAGGCTTAGTGGGGAGAGCACTCTTCCTCACAAAGGGCCAGCACCCCAACTCTTACAGCTCTTGGGGTTCACACACTAAGGCACTTTTTACAGAAGCCCGTGCTTTATGAGTCTCCCTGGCGTATGCTGCCACCCTTGCCCCATTCCTTCCCTCCCCTTTAGGGAACCCTTCAGCAGCTCTCTGTGGTCACTGTGTCAAAGGAATTAGGAAATCAGACCTTTCCCTGATAAAGTTTCTAGATTGCTGATATAATGAAATACACCATGCCATGACCAGCCTGCTGTGAAAGGATTGAAAAATTGCAGATCAATTTAAACACAGCCATTTCTCCATGCTGGGTGTGTGTCTGCACAGATAGGAGGAATCTTAGGCTCTCAAAGTGAGAAAAGAAGAAAGTTATGCTATAGGGCCCTGCTGCGTCCCAGAGATAAGACTATGAGAGGTAAAATGATCTGCCCTAAGTTACTAGTTGTATACTAGGTAGCAAGGCCATAATAAAACCAGATCTTTGTACACAACAAAGGAAACAATCAACGAAGTAATGATCTACAGAATGAGAGAAAATATTTGTGAGCTACATATCTGAATACAGTATTAATGAACAAAATACAGTATTAATGAACTCATCAACAAGAAAGCATAGTTATTTAAAAATTTATTTTTTTGCCAGGTATGGTGACGCTTGCCTGTAATCCCAGCACTCAGGAGGCTGAGGCAGGAGGATTGCCAATGAGTTTAAGGCCAACCTGGACTACATACCTTGTTTCAAAAAAATAAATAAATAAATAAACAAGTAAATGAATATTATCACTGTGAAAAATGATGTCTGTGAGGGTATGTTAATGTTGACTGAGCCATGTTACAATGTATATCAAAATGTGTTGCATGCTATATAGTTTTTGTCAATTTTAAAAATAAAATTTTAAATAAGCATGCTATATGTAAATCTAAAAATAAATAAAAGGGGTTTTGTCATGTTTTGTTTTGTTTGTGGTACTAGGGATCAAACTCAGACTCTACTGAGTTACATCCCCAGCCCTTATTTTTTGTTTTTGTTTTTGTTTTGTTTTGTTTTGTTTTTGTCTTTTTGAGACAGTCTCACTTTGTAGTTCGGGCTGGCCTTAAACTTACAGCATTTCTCCTGCCTCAGCCTCCTGAGTACTGGGATTATAGGCATGGTTACCACACCTGACCTCCAGCCCTTTTTTGTAGTTTTATTTTGTTTCTTTTGAGACAATGTCTTGGTATTATAATCAAGGCTGAACTTGAATTCACAGTGTGGCTCAGGATGGCCTTAAGATCACATTCTTCCTGCCTCAGCCTTACAGATGCAGTAGTTGGGGTGATATATGTGTTCCACCATGCCAGTCTATTTTTTTTTAGAATGCTACCTTATTAAAAACAAACCTCATCTGTACGAATGTAACTAGTAAGCTGCTTGTTACTCTTTAAAATGGAAGAGTTACCAGGTATTAGGGTTTTCATAATATCATGGCCACTATTGTTTTCACAATTCCAGGCCTTTGTTACCCATCTCTTCTGTTTCTTCCTCCCCTTACTGACTTCTTTTTTACCCATGAAAAGCAAGGATAGATAGTTACATAGTTGGCTCATTAAGAAGAAAGTTTTATGTAAATAATTTTCTGGACTGTGTTTTGCCTATATCATATACTTGGAACAACTACTATAAATGTAACAATACAAAATGTATTGATTATTGTTACTGTCCTACTAGCCTGTTTTGAAACCCTTTTTTCTTTTATTTCTTACTTTTTTTCTGTTTAAAATTTAAAAAAGAAAAGTACAGGATATCTATCGCCTGAGTAACCAGGATTCAGTTACAATATACAAAAGTTACGTGAACTAGAACTAGTCTAGGGCTGAGTGGAGCTGTTTATCAAAAAATTTAAACAACCCTATTCTACTTGAAGCTTACTTTCCAACCTAATGCACCTTCTGACTATCAAAATGGGCTCCTAAAATACTTTATATCATTTAGT